AGATATTCTTTTGTATTTGCGACAGATTTTTCTGTCGCAAATTTTGATGTTTTTTGTAGTGAAGAGCAAGTGATTTTGATAACGGAGGACAAGACAAGGAGCTATACGACGACGTTTCTGAATTCGATTGATGATGGCGAAGAATTGGAGATGATTTTTTTTTTTCCGACGGCTGAACAGAGAGTCCAACAAGGCCGTGAGGTTTTACAACTCGAAAGTGGAGGAAGCCGATGAATTTAGCAGATAATTGAATGTTTCCATTGTTCTCAGAATCAAAGTGGGGAACCGAATCGCAAATCTTCCTGACATTAATGGCTTTCACTCTTCCTTTTTTTTCTCCAGAACACCAGAGCAATAGAGTTCCGATAGGTTTTAGACAGATTTAACATCTAGGGTTTTTAGAATTTCTTCGAGATAAGTTTGATTTTTAGTTGGATAATGGATTGGTGATTCTGGGTTTCTGAAATTCTATTTACATTTCTTGAGAGTTATCAACTTTTCTTTTTTTTGATACAAATTTACTACTTCTAGGATTTGTCACCGGTAATTCATTCTTGAACCACCATCTTCATCTTCACCAGATCTCTTTCTACACATAGACAAGGGAGATGAAGAAGACTTGGCTTGAGAACCAGTTTGATATGCCATCGATGATCACTATGTTGCATATTGGCTTTGAATCCTTTGGGTTTGCAAAAGGAAAAGTAAAGGGATGAAATTAGAGTTTCGATTTTTTTTTCTGTCTCGGTTCATCTATTTTTTAGCTGGTTTATTAAATGTGAAAACCGGGTTTAGTTTCTTTCAAACCGTTTTAAACCGGATTAAGACCGGTTTTATTTTGCAAAAAAAAAACTGCCGATGTGTCAATTTTTTAATCAAAACCGATGACGTATATGTGCTCACATTAACAATCCCGTAATACTAGGACTTCTGATCACCTGAAAAATTTGGTCAAAATAGTCAACGGTTTATTAGACCACCAATTTGCATGTTCGAGTTTTTTTTTTCAATTACAAAATGTAAGTTAAGGTGTTAAATGACAACTTTTCAAGTTTAGAGTTTTTTAATATATATTTAAGCAAGTTCGAAATTTTTCCGAAATTTTACCCAATAAAGTATTATAAATTTATATTTGACATATCTACGTACATAAAGAGAACTAAACAAAAGAATTTGAATGTATAAAATTTATACCTTAAACCATTTCGATATTCAAATATCAAATGTAAAAATAATACCTCATATGTAAATCCACCCTAAAAATATTGATTGAAATTCGGACGAACAATGAAACTAAAATTCGACAATTGTATACCGTTATTCAACCTTAGAAACAAATAAAGTATATCAAAACCTATTGACCATGGTTTTGTCAAAATATATTGCTCTCCAAACAAATAAAATATATATATAGATATATACATACACACACAACAGACCCAAACAGCCATATTGATGATTAATTCTACTGCACATCAACAAAAACCGCTTAAATTTGCAACCAAAGTCCAAAAATACATGCATGACTATATAAATACATATATATATATATATATATATATATTCCAAAACACAAGATTTTCACATAATTTATTCAACAGATCCAAGACACAAAGAACCCAATCTCCCGCAGAAGATGATCAAGAACGAGACAGAGACATTTGTCTGAAAGCCCTAATGATCTGAACAAGCTTCTCGTGAGGAGGACTCAACTCTTTCACTACATCCACTTCGTTGATGGCATCGATCCAACTGTGGACCCCAGGAACTGCCTCAGGATCTACGATCTTGAAACCAAGAACCTCTTCCTGTGCCTTGTACGGACTCAGCATCGTACACATGACCATGTCCGCGAGGCCCATCTCCGGTTTTCCTTCGTACGATATGTCCTCAAGGGCTTCTTCTTCTATCACTTTCAGCTTCTCCTTCAGCTCTTCATGGGCTTTTTCTTGTTCATCTCCTTGTGTTTTGATTACCTTTAACAGAACTTCAAACACCTGCACGGTGATTAGAGTTAGTAAATGACATATTTTATTGGAGAATTTGATGGATTATTTGACCTAAACTTAAAAGAGAGGTATATAATATATATTGAAAGAATTTTCAAAGTTTTGAGTATGGGTATGTGAAATTTACTTCTATTGGGTTTGTTTCGGTTTCCAGTTCCAAGAACTTGAATTTTCATAATCAGTGATCGAATTTAATGACAAAAACAATGGAAATAAGATTGAATTTACTCACGTGTTCTTGGAGGTAGCGAGCCCAAAACCGGATCTTGGCTCTTCTATAAGGGTCCTCGGGCAAGATCCGTGGACCGGTTTTCCAAGTCTCATCGATGTATTCGATGATAACCGAAGATTCGCATATCGGTTTACCGTTGTGAACGAGAACCGGAATCTTCTCGTGAACGGGATTGTACTTGAGAAGATCTCGGCTCTTGTTCTTGAGATCTTCTTCCACGAATTCGTAAGGTACGGCCTTAAGTCTCAAGGCCAATTCCACCCTTTTGCTATATGGACTCATAAATGTCCCATGGAGTCTCACTTTGTTTTCCTCTCCCATTTTTCTTCCGCTCTTGTTTTTTCTCTTCTTCTCCAAGATGTGTTTTTTTTCTTCTTCTTGATATCATATCTATATAGAGATGAAATTAGGGGGAAAATATATTTTTTTTAAAGAAAAAGAAATATGTGTAAAATGGTGTCTTGTCTCTCAAGTTGGTCAAAGTTGCATCCTTGTCCATTTTTAAGTTTTGTGGTGGGAATAAAAAGAATTAATAAATGGTAGAAAAATAATTAAATAGTATAATGTGCACATCATGCTCTTGTTTTCTAAGAAGTGAAAAAAAAAAAACAATTTTATGTTAAGGTGTTACATCCGCAACTACAACAGAAATCATCAAAAACTTCTTACTTCTTAAACAAGGTAAAAAAAACAAAACAAAACCTAAACTTTTAAAAAGGGTTTGATTAAAACTTCATCTATTTATAACGTCGAAAAAACCACTATCTTCTAAAAAAAAACATCTAAAAAACCACTAACCTTTTAAAATTTCTCCATTTTTTTACTTTCATTAAAATATATTTATAATTGTAATTTATAGTATTTAACGCTGTTAATTTTTTTTGTTTTATTTTTCAAATTAAACTCTATTATTAATAAAAAAAGCCTCAATTTTAAATTATAGAAACATAGACTTTCTACACATCTTTCTATCTATTTCACAGTAAGAGTTTTTCTCCAACTGAATTCCTTTCATAAATCAATACTAAACCTAGATTTCATTTTGAGGAGATTTATTTGTAAAAGTCAAAATTTCCTTTTGTCAAGTCACTTGTCTATAAATCAAGAAAGAAAAATGATAAATCGACAAAAAACTCCTCATTGGGAGAGGTTCACACAACTTAGATGTAATTCAAATTCATTTTGTATTCTATTTGAATTACTATTTATAGGCAACCAAAATTTTGTAAGGTTTCGAAATATGAATTTTCTGTGAAAGTCCACAACAAATCCAAAATTTATATTTTCTTACATGTGTATGCGATTGATAAATTGCAATCTTGAACATTTCCATCTCTCTATATTTTCAGTGATATTGGTGAAATTGTCAATCATATTCCTTCTTTATTCTATGTTCGTGATATATATATATATA